GAGTGAACTCTAACCTGCGGGTTAGAGTTCACTCTCGCGAGATCTGAGCGTTGCCGCAGCTCAAAATCCCGCGAGAGGACCGGGCGGAGCTGCTGGTTAGAGCTCCACCGGGCATTTGCCCGGTGTGCCCGATGGCCTGTCCGGGCCTGGCAGGAATAAAGTGTCAGTGTTGACTGCCGTGAAGGAGCAATCACCTTACAGTTTCGCACTGATGTCTCTCACCTTCTACACAGTCCTCTCTGGAGCTACCTTGGCATGGCGACATTCCATCCAACTGTTCACCACCCTTCTTAGGAAGCATGCAATACACTACAGATGGCAAATGTCTTGACACTCCAGGTTCTCAAAGGTGAAGACAAGCATACATTCACCAATCCACAGGGGGCAACAACTCTATTGACTACTTTGGGACTACTTGGGACTTCTTCATTAACACACTCAGTGCTCCGTGTGGCTTCACCAACCCCCAGAGATGTAACCTGGCGACAGTGGCCGAGGCAACCATCACAGGCCTCATACGCGGCTTGCACTACCTGTGCCCTGTGGGGGGCGTAATTCTCTGTATCAACTTGGATTTTTCATAGTATGTTTTTTCTTAGTTTGTGTTCAACTGTTATCCTTCTTGTTTTGTTTTTACTACACACATTATTTGCAAAATACTCTCTCAGTAAGATTGGTCTGCAGACCAAATATGTTCCCCCCTCCGGCTTATAGATGTTAGATGTTTAGAGCGACTACTGTTAATGGCCTGTACTAGCAAAGCGTAAAATTGTAATGGCTCCACAATATATTAGTTTTGTCCTTGTGGTTATTAAAGCGTTTTACCCTAATTGACACAAGGTAACCACAATGTGATGAAAAGATAGAGTAGTTCAAGCTGTGTATGTGTTGCTAATGTGTGCTATTCTCACACCAACAACAAAAAAATGTAATTCACTGATTGAAGCACTTATTTTATGTAATTGTTATGTTGTTACCCATGCGTCTGATATGTACTGTAATTTTATACTGGTAAACTGACCAAAAATAAAAAAAAAATTTGACTTATCGACTTTTGTCAATAATTTGACTTATCCTGTTTACTCTATTGTTTGTGTATTTATTTATTGGAGTGCAGTAGACTAGTATGCCAACATATTTAAATTTCAGTTCTAATTGTATTAAGTTAAACATTAGTTGTTTGGTTTTATAGCAGCAATCAAAGTATCTATCAAAATACAGATTTCTTGTGTAACTCCCCTTTCCCAGGAGATATTTTCCAACTCCAAAATGTATATATCGATATATAATTCTTATGCAATGACTTGACCAGGATTCAATGGACTTACTCTTCCAAGATCACAAAAGAGTTTTATATTCTAGGAGGCCACCAGCAAACAATTCTTTAAATGTAGACATAGTCTCATCATGATAATCTTGCAAGTGAAATAAGCATTCTTCATCCATATAAGTACTTCTAGAAATATATCCTTGTATGAACACCTACTTGCAGAGTGTGACGGAACGCTGGCACTCCGACTGAGTACCTCCGCCAATCGATGCTCCTAGTGCTCGCTGAGGACTCCAAGCACTCCAACCGACACCATCAGCACTGCAGACCCCACTTCCAGCGATGCAACTGCGCCGGGGTCTCTGCTGTTTCCACCCACCCTGGACCCAAGGCCAGGATCCAGCTTCCAGTGGGTGAACCTCTCTTTCCCCAGAGAGCAGGAACAGGAACAAATCAAGCTATTGCAAGAGCTTCCTCTGGGGAGTAAGTGATTATAGCAATCCCCAGAGTGTAGGTATCCCTTCCCCCAAACATGAGCCAAGGCTTAATGCTGGAACAAGACTGATTTACTGGCACACAGAACTCACAATTTATGCAACACAAAACTCCTCCTCTGGGCCAGGCTAGATAATTGAGTTTCTACAATACACAAAGCTCAATTATCTTCTGGCCAGAAACATTACAATTTTTACAGCATTCATAACTTCTAAAATATACATCACAGGGACCCCAAAACATGCAATAACCCCATAAAAAGTATATCCTTAGAACCGGGGGATCTGGGTGAACCACATATCCAAAATTCACCCAGATCCGTTCAGTACTTTGGAAAATACAGTTTAATGCAGATTCTGCAGAACATATACAGGCTAAATGAAAAACAATTACTGTATAATGTGTCCCAGGGCTGCCATCAGAAATTTTGGGGCCCCTGACACAGCTCAAGGTCTGGGCCCCCCGGTGCCCGCATCCGAGTCCGCCCAAAGTGCTGCCCCCCCCCACGAGTCCGCCCACAGGAATGCAGTGTCTGCAGGGCCGGTGCAAGGATTTTTGCCGCCCTAGGCAAAAGTAAAGTTTGTCGCCCCCCCATGTGACATCACAATGCCCCACCCATATGATCATCCATGTTAACTAACACCAGTGCTGCAGTGCAGCCGTGTTTACATTAAACGGCCTGCAGGGACAGGCTAGACACCAGAACCACTACATTAAGCTGTAGTGGTTCTGGGGACTATAGTGTCCCTTTAATGTGAGGTAAATTAGAGATTAGTGCCACAAATAATATACTAGATTGCCTACTTACAACCAGATGAGGATGATGATGGGCTCTAGCTGCAGTCTGGCTCCACTGGTCTGGTGTAGAACAGGCTCTCTGGAGGCGTTTTGTAACTGTGGTCACAAAAATCAATGTTCTGGGATCAACGGGAATCAGCTCCATTTTTTTGAGGGCCCTTTACACAGCTCAAGGTCTAGGTCCCAGGGTCCACCTTCATGTTCCACCAATGAGTTTGTTCACAGGGGGTGGAGTGTGTGTGGGGGGGATGTCCTGATGTGTGTAAGGAATGCATTGTGTGAATCTGTGTTTGTATGTGTAAGGGCTGCAAGGTGAGTTTGTGTATGTATGGGATGCAGTGTGTGCGTCTGTAAGGGATGCATTGAGTGTGTGTAAGGGGTGCATTGGGTGTGAGGTGGAGTGTGTGTGGGGGGGATGTCCTGATGTGTGTAAGGAATGCATTGTGTGAATCTGTGTTTGTATGTGTAAGGGCTGCAAGGTGAGTTTGTGTATGTATGGGATGCAGTGTGTGCGTCTGTAAGGGATGCATTGAGTGTGTGTAAGGGGTGCATTGTGTGTGATGGATGTCAATCTCTCCCCCTCCCCCCGTCAATTTCCTTCTCCTTCTCCCCCCTCCAATTTCCTTCTTCTTCCCCTCCCTCCCTCCAATTTCCTTATTCTCCCCCTTTCTCCAATTTCCTTCTTCTCCCCCTCTCCTTCTTCTCCCCCTCTCCTTCTTCTCCCCCCTCTCCAATTTCCTTCTTCTCCCCCACCCTCCAATTTCCTTCTTCTCCCCCTCCCTCTCCAACTTCCTTCTTCTCCCCCTTTCTCCAATTTCCTTCTTCTCCCCCCTCTCCTTCTTCTCCCCCTCTCCAATTTCCTTCCTCTCCCCCCTCAAATTTCCTTCCCTCCTCTCCCCCAAATTTCCTTTCCCCCAAAAATTTCCTTCCCCCTCCCTCCCTCAAATTTCCTTCCTCCCCCTCAAATTTCCTTCCTCTCCCCCCCTCCCTCAATTTCCTTCCTCTCCCCCTCAAATTTCCTTCCTCTCCACCCCTCCCTTAAATTTCTTTCCTCCCCCCCCACCTTAAATTTCCTTCCTCCCCTCCCTTCAAATTTCCTTCCTCCCCACCCTCGATTTCTTTCCTCCCCCCCTCCTCCCTCCATAAATTTCCTTCATCCCCCACTCCTCAATTTCCTTCCTCCCCTCCCTCCCTCAATTCTTTCCTCCCCCCTCCCATAAGTTTCCTTCATCCCCCTCCCTCCCATAAATTTCCTTCATCCCCCTCCCTCCATTTCTTTCCTCACCCCTCCCATAAATTTCCTTCCTCCTCCCTTCCTCCCCCTCCCTCCCTTAAATTTCCTTCCTCACCCCAATTTCTTTCCTCCCCCCCCTCAATTTCCTTCCTCCCCCCTCCTCCCATTTCCTTCCTCCCCTCCTCCAATTTCTTTCCCCCCTTCCTCCTTAAATTTCCTTTATCTAATCCTCCAATTTCCTTCCTCCCCCCTCCCTCCCTCCAATTTCTTTCCTCCCCCTCCCATAAAATTTTCCTTCATCCCCCTCCCTCCCATAAGTTTCCTTCTCCCCCCTCCCTCCATTTCTTTCCTCACCCCCTCCCTAAATTTCCTTCCTCCCCCTCCCTCCCCTAAATTTCCTTCCTCCCCCCACTCCCTCCCTTAAATTTCCTTCCTCCCCCAATTCTTTCCTCCCCCCTCAATTTCCTTCCTCCCCCCTCCTCCCATTTTCCTTCCTCCCCCTCCCTCAATTTCTTTCCCCTTCCTCCTTAAATTTCCTTTATCCCCATCCTCCCAGTTTTCCTTCCTCCCCCTCCCTCCCCTCCCTCCAATTTTCTTTCCTCCCCCTCCCATAAATTTCTTTCCTCCCCTCCCTCCCTCCCCTAAATTTCCTTCCTCCCACTCCCTAATTTCCTCCCTCCCCCAATTTCTTTCCTCCCCCCCTCCCTCCAATTTCCTTCCTCCCCCTCCCTCCCATTTCCTTCCTCCCTCCAATTTCTTTCCCCCCTTCCTCCCTTAAATTTCCTCCCCCCCCACCCCCCGGCGGGCCGGCGCGCGAGGGAGCACTCTCCTCTGCTGCTTCCTCTTCAGCCCCCTCGCGCGCCGCGTACTGATGCCGGAGTCGGAAGATGACGTCATCTTCCGGCTCCGGCTTCAGTACGGTGCGCAAGGGAGCTGAAGAGGAAGCAGCAGAGGAGAGTGCTCCCTCACGCGCCCGCCGGCTTTCAGGGCCAGCCTCTGGGGGGCCCTGATGTGACCGGCTGCTGGGCCCCCCAGGAGAATAGGCTGGCCTTGTGGGTACATACCGGGGTCGCAGGGCCCCCTGCGACCCGGTATGTACCCACTTAATGTGGGGCCCGGACGACCTGAGCAGTCCGGGCCCCCCAGGACCGCCGGGCCCATGACAACCGTTGCGGTTGTCATGCCCCTGATGGCGACCCTGATGTCCCCTGCTGTATAGTCCAAAACCACTGCACGATGTCTCTGTGCACCAAATACTGGCGAGATGGCACCGTGTTGAAAAGTCCAAACAGTGTCTGTGAGTTAAAATGGCCGCCATCCATTGTTCTCACCATGTGCTTCTGATACAGGAAATGGTGGCCACCCAGTAACTCCACAGTATGTCTCCAGATGGTTCTTAAAGGGCCAGCAGCAGCACAACACAAATCCATTATGCCCAAATCATGTCTTTAAAGGGCAATACATCCCAGGGGCCATAGTCACAGGGCAAGAGGCGGGCAAGCAGTCCTCTCCAGGCACAGGTGGCGAAGGGCACTTCGTCACACAGAGATACCCCAAAGCAGCATATTATACAGTCATGGGAATGTCTTGGTGGAGTTAAATTCTTTTTATTCCGTGACCAACCTCTTTTTGTTGTTTAGTGAATTCGAGGGAGGTCTTCTGCTGTACTTTAGTGGTATTGGCAAGATTCTAAAATTACATCTTCTCTGAACTTCTCGGTCATTCTTGAGTCCAACTCAGGGAGTTTGCGTCAGACCTGTTGGTCCAAGCAGTGCAATCAGTGCCTTGCTTTTATTACTACTCATCGAAAATACTTATACAGTTTGTATGAATGAATGGTAGCATTTTATATAAAAAAAAATCAATGTTTTCCTTTTACCTGAAAATTCTTGGTAAATATTTAAACTTTGTTCAATACTTTAAACTGATTAGAGGTCGGTATAAGGTTTGTAAATTAGTTTTGTGTAATGGGAAAAAAATCTGAATAAAGTGCATGTCAATAAATACATATTTATTTTTTGAAAGAGATGGAAATTGAGCCTCGGGAATGTTGTTGCCTGAACTGAATAGTGTCTATAAAGCAATTTCTCTTCTGGATGTATCTTGAAGCATTCTATAAAAGCAGTCGTGACTTATATTAGTAATTAAATTACAGGTCATGGGTAGCTTTGCATAAGTGAATTTTTTTTATTATTATTATTATTAATGAGGATTTCCCACTTCTAAGTAAGCTTGCAAAATCCATTACTACATGGTGAAAAAGGTTGTATCTGCTAAATCCGGTCTTTAAAATACTGGCTTGAAAAAAAATAACTTCACAAATCCCAGAGGCATCTTACTCAAATTCTATATTTAACTCTAAAAGACTCTATACTCAGCCGCAGGAAGACATTGGAATATATTTCAGCATTATGGTCCTCAAAGGACAAATATCTGATGCATACACACCTACCACTCAAGCAGATCAGGGCTGACTGACTGCCTTTTGTGGTCCCATAGCGGCTTGAAAACTTGCTTGCTAGATATCGAGTAAAAAAAAATCTTTTCTCTTTCTAAAAAAAGATACTATAATCTTCTTTTAATACATTTTATTTATAAAGGTGAATCATGTTTCATTTTTATGTTTATAGCAAAGCAATGCAATTTGCAACACATATGACATAATTTGCAAACTGATGGATACTTACATATAGAAAATATATAAAATATTGACAAAATAAGGTCATTTGCCCTCCACTGTTGTTGTTGGCACACTTGGTAAATGGGAGCAAAGAATGCTGTGAATAAATGCCTTTATTGTTTGAATCTTTTTTTCCTTTGTTAAAAAAATGCACAGCTATACACTGTTCCCGTGGATATCAAACAATTGCAATACAACACAGATTTATCCAAAAAATAAATCTTTGTTAAATATATGTGTGCATATAATCCCATCGATATTTTACATGTTTTAGTACATATGGGTGACTAGGAACAGAAAATTGTTTCATAGGGCTATTATTATGAGGTACTCATGGGTCAAATTACCTTAATCATACATCACAATGGGTAAGACCAAAGAATATAGTTGTGATGTGCAGCAAAAGGTTGTGGAGCTTCATGTATGTCTATATTGTCACAATACATTGTCAAGCAGATGGTTTGAGTTGCCAAAACATCTCCAAGGATCAAAGCTGGGAAATTACAGAAGTTAGTTGCGCCTTGGGGTCAGAAAGTCTCCAAAACTACAATCCAATGTCACTTACATAAACACAAGCGGTTTTGGAAGAGTTTCAAGAAAAAAGTCTCAACTCTAGTCCAAAAACAAACTCAAGCATCTTCAGTTGGTCATACACTACTGGAAGTTCAAATGGGATTGGGTTCTAAGGTCAGATAAAACCAAACTAGAGTGGTAGGTTTGGTGCACACAGATACACATGTGCAAAAGTATCTCATGCCCACAGTTAAATATAGTGGTGACTCTTAAATGTTTTGATAGGATACATGGTATCATGGACACAAATATTAACAGATATTAACCACTTAGTGACCAGACCGCTTTTCAATTTTCTTACCGTTTGGGACCAGGGCTGTTTTTACATTTCTGCGGTGTTTGTGTTTAGCTGTAATTTTCCTCTTTTACTCATTTACTGTACCCACACATATTATATACCGTTTTTCTCGCCATGAAATGGTCTTTCTACAGATACCATCATTTTCATCATATCATATAATTTACTATAAAAAACACACTTTTTCGAACCTTAACCCCCAAAATCTTTTACGCATTTACAACTGCCAAAAAACACCTGTGCTAAATAGTTTCTAAATTTTGTCCTGAGTTTAGAAATACCCAATGTTTACATGTTCTTAGAGGTTTTTTTTTTTGCAAGTTATAGGGCAATAAGTACAAATAGCACTTTGCTATTTCCAAACCATTTTTTTTTTCAAAATGTATGCTTACATTGTAAGACTGATATCTGTCAGGAATCCCTGAATAAGCCTTCACATGTATATATTTTTTTAAAAGAAGACAACCTAAGGTATTAAACGTGGGATATTTTGACTCTTTTCATGCAACCATTTTACCACCAATATATGCCAAATTTACAAAAATAAAAATAATTAGTGATTTTTTCGCGAACTGTTTGGGACATCACTAGTCTGAAGCTTTTTACATATGGTGGTTCTTTACCTGGCTTTTAAATGGGAAGTATATTGGCCTTTAACATTTCCTGCGGAAACCTTCCCCTCTTTACCGCATAATTAATAGTTTTAGCCAAATGTTCTGATATGATACCTTTCATTGCTTTATAAAAACCATCTGGGCCGGAGGTTTATGACGTGCTAGTTTATCAATAGCCTTAATTCTTCTTCTTTAGTAATTTCTTTACTCAATATAGTCATCTGCTCTACAGAAGTTTTTGGTAGATTCAAATTTGAAATATACTCATCAGCTTCCTTTCTATGGACATTCTATGATAAATTATATAGTTCCTTATAAAACTTGTTAAAGGCATCACCTATATCCTCCGGGGAGACGTACAACTCATCTCCATGAACTATTTTCTCAACTCCTTTATTTGACTTTTTTGTTTTTGTTTGTTGATTGGTTAGAATTTGATCTGCTTTGTTATATCTATAGCAGCACTTTGTTTTCATCTTGAGCATATTATGATTGATTGTCTTTATAGTTTTTATTTTTATTTTATTTTTTATTTCTTTTAATTTGAGTTGGTTTTCTTGACTAGACTTTAACTTAAGAGCATTTGACATTTTAAATAACTGTATATACAAATCTTGTAAACTAAGTCTTGCCTTTTTTTTTAAATTTCATTAATTTAAAGCAATGACCTCTTATTAGCGCTTTATATAAGCACCAAATTATATCATCCTCTACCTCAACAGTCTGGTTCTCATTAAAGAAGCATAAAGACATACTCCCTAAATATTCTCTATTCTCATTATTTAATAATATTGATTCATCTAATTTCCATGTTACATTAGAGTATCTCTTTTTAGTTCCTTTTATATCCATTAAGACAGTATTGTGATCTGACCAGATCATTGGTTTAATTTGTATCATATTTACTCTCTCCAATAGATTCTGTCCTACCAGAACCAAATCTATCCTAGATAGAGAATCATGGGGCCAAGAATAAAATCTTCTCTTAAATACGAGTTTTGAACACGCCATATATCATACAAAGCATTCTTATTTATCAACTTATTGAATGATTTTGCATATTTGAGACTTCTTTTATCTATATTTCTATTTTTATTTTTTTATTTTTCTTTCTTCACATTAGGCACACAATTAAAGTCTCCTGCAATTATTTGAGTGCCCATGGCCACTCTTTCTGCTCGATTAAGAATAAATTTCAGAAGGCTCACGGGATTAGTATTAAGTAAATGAACATTTATCAAAGTAAATAATTCCCCATTGATAGCACATAGCAGAATTAAAAATCTGCTCTCAGGATCTGAGTCTTGGTGTCTTATATCAATTTGCAAAGAGTTTGGGGAAAAAAATGGCTACTCCCCCTTTTTTTCTCATAAGCTCTTGAGGCCCTAATTACTATAGGGAACTGTTTCCCATACCATCTTTTCTCATCCAATTGCCACCAATACGTCTCTTGAACAAAGGCGATTTGGATTTTCTCTTTCTGTAAATAATCATTAAAAGCCCAACTTTTTTTTGTGGCATATTGAGCCCTTGAATATTTATAGAAGCTAACCTAATCATCTAGTCTTTTTAACATTTGAACATATATACATATAAACATATTTATATTTATTCTTATTATTTAAGGTTCTTTGTTTTTGTCTTGATTTCCTTTTAGTTTTCTCTCCCTTTTCCTTCTTTCCCTGGCTTCCCTATTTATTTAAAAAATATATATTTAAATTTCTTCAATATTCTTGCCAGACCACATTTTTTAAACCGATTGAAATTATTTGTATCTACCAATCCTCCTTATGCCCCTCTTAAAATCTTAAAACATCTCTCTATGTGATCAGTAGGTGATATCCCTTGCTCGTATATTATCCATAGTACACTGCTCAAAAAAAATAAAGGGAACACTTAAACAACACAATGTAACTCCAAGTCAATCACACTTCTGTGAAATCAAACTGTCCACTTAGGAATCAACACTGAGTGACAATCAATTTCACATGCTGTTGTGCAAATGGGATAGACAACAGGTGGAAATTATAGGCAATTAGCAAGACACCTCCAATAAAGGAGTGGTTCTGCAGGTGGTGACCAGAGACCACTTCTCAGTTCCTATGCTTCCTGGCTGATGTTTTGGTCACTTTTGAATGCTGGCGGTGCTTTCACTCTAGTGGTAGCATGAGACGGAGTCTACAACCCACACAAGTGGCTCAGGTAGTGCAGCTCATCCAGGATGGCACATCAATGCGAGCTGTGGCAAGAAGGTTTGCTGTGTCTGTCAGCGTAGTGTCCAGAGCATGGAGGCTACCAGGAGACAGGCCAGTA